GCATTCCATCTCCACGGGATCCAGGCCAGAAGTTGAGGGGCATCCAGAGGAGCAGCAATAAAAGTTATCTCCCCTCAGAAGCTCCTTGGCCGGAACAACATTACACGGCCCCCCTCGGGCTTCGTGGGAATCTGGGAAGGCGAGAATCTGCCTTCATTGGTCAACCTCTAGAAACAGAGGCTCACAAGAGAGGAAAGAATTGGGAATGCTTACTGAGGAGCCCAAAGTAAATAAGCATTGGACTTAGCAAACCTCAGGGTCAGCAGTTCAAGCCCACCAGCCACTCTGCTGGAGATGGATGAGGCTGTCTGCTCCCATCAAGATGTATAGCTCTAGAAACCCCGTGGAAGGGTGCTATGAGTCAGAATAGACTCACTGTCAGTGAGTTTGCTTTCCTTGTTTCTGGAAGATTCAGACAGGGTCTGAGTGTACGCATGCTGCTCTGCCACAGTCCTGTCCCACACACACCCCTGTTTCCACCACCAAAGCTCTGTGTCGATTGCCTCCACCCAGCTACTTCCATCACTTAGCTTCCCTGCCGGCTGGACGGGGATGGACAAGGGAAGACAGAAGAAAAGACACATTCGAGTCACCTTGTTGGCAAAGACTATTGACGGCACCATGTTACGTACTGAATATTTCAGACTGAGCAAATCTGTCTTGAAGGCAGTACTCCCAGAATGCGTCCTCGGCTCTAGGACGCTGAGCCTCTCTGGGGACGTGTCATCGGAGGGCCCTGTTGGAGAAGGACATTAGACTTGGTAATGTGGAGGCCGCGTTGAAAAGAGGCAGCCCCTCAATGAGATGGATGGACACCGTGGCTGCAACGATGACCTCAGTCGGAACAACTGTGAGGATGGTGCTGGGCCGGGCCGGACCGAGTTTCCCTCTGTTGTGCGTAAGGTCGGGAGGCGTGGGAACCGACCTGACAGCAGTAACCACTGTCCACTTAGACTCGTTGTGCATAGTTGTTCCTGATCTGGGTCTTGCTGCTTTCCGTAGCTGTGTGTGGCTGAAGGGAACAGCATCCTAGCTGTGTGTGGCTGAAGGGAACAGCATCCTCTGCCCAGGACTTACTACTGTTGGTGCCTCCGGTTGTGCCCGCTCCCTCTCACCACTCCCTCTGTCCTCCTTCCCTCCTTCTCTAATCCAGGAGACGAGCTCTCTCCCCTTTAGGAAAAGCCTTCTGCCTTTATATCCTTACTAAGCCTTTTGCCTGCATCACTCATTGAGATCAGCCCACAGACTGTTCAGGTCCCCAATCATGTAAACTCGGACCCTAGGGACAAGAGGGAGCCCTTCAGCATCCCAGCGCTCGAGTGTAAGCTAGATCCCAGCAGTGCACACAGGCCGGTCCCCTGCACAGGGCCTCAGTGAGTAACCTGTGGCATGAGTGCCTGCCAGCCCTGTGCAGTGGACCCGCAGCTCGGTCTCCCCTAAAAATTAGCCATTGGAATTCAGCCCCTCCCCCACCGACAGTTTGAGATGCGACGGCTGCACCCTGGATCCTACCAGATACTGTGGTCAAAACATTGGTTAAGTTCTTTCCGCTGTCTCTTCTGGCTCACCCTACCACCTCCCAGCTCAGGGTCCCCGACTGTCGCGGAGGATCACCCCAGGGCAAGAGCTCAGACCATGACCCTGATACGCTCACCGACCACCTCTCACTCGTGATGAGCAAGTGAGGAATGAAACCCAGCTGTCCGCCTCAGACCCGGGGTGCCATGGCGGAGTGGGCACATGCCTTTGACACCCTGGCTTGATCATTCCTCCATTGTTGTAGCCATTCGCGATGTGCCGAGTGTCTCATCCGCCGTAGAAACTCTGACCTGGAGCTTAGCAGGCCCCTCTGAAGCGCCCTCCTTGAAGGCACAACTGGAACACAGCTTGTGGGGCGTTCACCCTGTGTCGCAGGCAGCCGCTGGCTCTCGGTGGAATTCCCTCCCATCTCTGAGGCTGCAGGATGGTGCGGTATTGTCTGCAATAGCCATGCAGCAGGCGGGCCCACTTCCCATGGGGCACCTCAGCCCTCTCCTGATGGCAGTAACAATAGGCTGATGGGTCTTTCCAAGCTGATTATGTTGGAAGGATCCAGGACCTCCCCCTCAAAGGGCTGCTTTGTGGTCTCAAAACAGGTTTCCCTTGCCCTGAAGGGCTGGCTCAGTGAGCAGAGAAGCCTTCTGGGGGGGGTCTCAGCAGCCCAGTAAGTGTGAAGCCAATAAAAGGCCGAAGGGAGAGAAGATGGCTGATGCTGACGGGGTAACCAAAGGCCAGGGGCTGTGGCGTTGACTTGATCCTCATGGGTGTCTGAGAACATTGCTCCAAACAGTGTCAAGACCCAGTCTGTCAAAGTAGATGGCCAGGCCTTTCTTCTGAGGTGCCTCTGAGTGGGCTCCGACTTCCAGCCTCTTGGTCAGCAGCTGCACTCGTTAACGGTTTGCAGCACCAGGGACCCTGCCGAGGGGGGTGGATGGGCGTGAGCTCTGGGGGGCAATCCTTGAGACACAGATAGAATCTCCATGGAATGGTTACGTGTTGGGCTATTCACCGGAAGATCAGCAGTTCAAAACCACTAGGCATTCCGTAGGTGAAAGGTGAGGCTTTCTACTCTCATATAGAGTTCCGGAACTTTTCACCACCTGCTGGGGCTGAAGTCGAGGCAGCAGGAGGCAGTGCTGGGAGGTGGCGAGAAGCAGCTCAGACGCTCCTGGGCCAGCCCCAGAACCTTTCTGAAACCGAGTCTCTAGAAACAAATAATAATCCGGTGAACCCTGGAGCCACACGAGGTGGAACTGCCCATGCCCACGGGCATGCGGGTTTCCTTGCCACGACCTCAGTGAGCTCAGGCGCTTTGCGGATCCTCCCAATCCGTCTCCACGTGAGCGCTGCGTCTCTCCTGTGAGGCTTTGGCCTGAGTGCACAGTGCTCGCTGCAGTAACAACCGGGGCGGGGGAGACGACAGTTCAAATTCTTGTTGTTCAAGGACCAATATTGAATTATACATGGATTTTTGGACTACTCATTATTCAAAGGCCAACTGTATTCTCCTTGGTGAGTGGACAGCAGGTGGGATGAGTCACGGTGTCTGAAGGTCTCCGCAGTCAGAGGGCAGTGTCCAGTAGGTGGGAAGGGAATGCCCTTGACTTGGGATGGCGCCCTCCCTCGGAGTGCTCTGGCACCCAGTGCTTCTCAAACTCCCTGTGCCCGGGGCTGTGCTTTCTTAACTTCGTGTAAATACACGAGGCCATACGGTCCCAGTGGGGTCAGTATAACCCCCACAGGGGCAAACACGACTCTAGAGGGGAGGGTTGAAAGATTCTTACTCTTTTTATGTATAAAACACAAATACATATACAGCGCCTACAAGGATCCTCAGTCTGTGATATTATGATTCAACAGAGGGAGCCCTGCTGGGGTCGGGGAGGAATGTTTAGGAGCAATAGTGGAAAGGGGAAATTTTGAGTGACCAGACTCCCTATCATCAGGTCAATTCTGACGCGTCGTGGCCTCTCAGCCAGGGGGGAATTACTCCTGTGGGTTTCCGAGCCTATAACTCTCTGGGAGTTGAAAACCTCATCTTATCCTTCTCAGTGGCTGGTAGATTCAAACAGCTGACCTTGCAGTGAGTCTCCCAGTGCATAACCGAGGGCCATCCCTTTTCCAAGACGTGGTTTTCCCATGAGTAGGTTGAGCAGCCCTAAGTCACTCTGTTACATGGCTCTCGGCGATCCTTGCTTCCACATCTGGCCCCTGGTATCATGGCGGACGGGACAGTGTGTGGTGTCTGCGGCTGGGGACCCACGTGGTCCATCATGGTTCCATCCTGTGCCTGTAATAGCTCAACACCTAACAAGCCCCATCCCTCATTTGTCAGCCTCTACTCTCCCCGCCCCGTCGCGGCAGCACCTGCCACTTGGGGATATTTGGTCCATCACTGGCAAATGCATTGTTGAATGAATGAGTGGATGAATGGATGGATGGATATCCACTTAAAAGTGGCTCTTGTGAAAACCAGTCCATTGCTGTAAGGCAGTGCTTCTCTCCTGTGGCGATGTCTTCCGCGACAAAGAAGTGTATCTCTTTCTCAGCTAAAAGTCCAAGCTACCAGGGCAGTTCTGGCCTGCAAGTGTGGTGAATGGAGTCCAGGCTCCATTCATCTTACTGCTGGGCTGTGAGAACTGCCAGCAGGAGAGGGGCAAGGGTGGGCCTGTCCTTGCCCTCTAAGGGCACCACCAGGAAGTTGTGCACATTCATCCCCCGTTCCCTCATCCAGAACTCCACACAGGGACGTACTTGGCCTATCCCAGGAAAGCTGGGAAATGTAGTGTGTGTGTGTGCTCTAAGCAGCCTTGTGCCCCGTGGAAAAGCAAGCATTCTGTTTCAACACCAGAGACGAGGGGAGTGGCCACTGGCGGGCACCTGGCCTCGGTGAGATGGATTGGCTCAGAGGCGGCAGTGGGCTCAAACAAGGGCGGTGAGGAGGACGCAGGTCCGGGAAGTGCTTCGTTATCTTGTCCGTGGGGTCACTATGGGTTAGAAACGACTCAGCTGCAAGACCTCAAAGGAGCGCTGGTGGTGCAATGGGCTGCTGAGTGGAAGGTCACTGGTTTGAACCCATCGGCTGCTCCCAGGGAGAGAGGCGAGGCTGGCCGCTCCCGTAAAGAGCTACAGCCTTGGAAACCAGAAGGGATCGTTCTGTGCTGCCCCGGAGGGTCCTTTGGAGCCAGAATTGACTCGGTGGCATGGGTTTGGTTGGGGGGCAAGACCTGCCACCGTCACTGTAAGACAGGAAGTTTCCCTTGTCTTGGCACTGTCTTTCCTGGACCTCACCGGGCAGTCAGCAGCCAGGATTAGTGGTCAGTGTTCACAAGGAGGGGGTCTATGGGAAAAACCCTGCAGACCCCAGAGCGCCCCCTCGCCATTCTGCCACATCCTTCTCCTTCAGGTCCCGCCCCAGCTGCAGGAAACGTCATCTGTGTCCCCGTTCCTCCCTGCCACAGGTGCAGCCGGGATCTATCAAGGTGCCAATGGACTGAGCAGCGCGGCCGGATTCGGGACTGTGCACCAGGTAGGTCGGCCTCCTCGCCGCCAGCAGCTTTTCTGATCTTTCCTGAAACTAGGGCCCCTCAGGAAGCTCACGGGCACCCAGGGCCTGCGCCCCGCCCCGCCCCCTACTCCCTGAGTGTGCAGACTGCAGGGGACAGAGGTGCGGAAGGCCACCACAGGCAGAGCCGCTGGGATGATAGCTTTTCAGAGCTGGAAGGTCCTGGCCATCTAGAATAAGCACTCTTGACACAAGCACCCATTAAAAAATGCAAATGTGAGTGCTCTTCGTGAGGCCGTATTGTCCTTGCCAAGGGTTCAAATCTACCTTGTGCACCCAACTCCCCAGGGCAGGGGTCCTCAAACTACGGCCCACGGGCCATATGCGGCCCGCCGAGGACATTTACCCAGCCCGCCGGGTGTTTTACCCCCATTTGGTTTTTTACTTCAAAATAAGCTATGTGTAGTGTGCATAGGAATTTGTCCATAGTTTTTTTTAAAACTATAGTCCGGCCCTCCAACGGGTCTGAGGGACAGTGAACTGGCCCCGTTTAAAAAGTTTGAGGACTTGGGGGGTAGAAAGGAAGAATCTATCACAAGGATCTACATATACCCCCCTCTCTGGGGGATGGGCAACAGAAGGGTGGGTGAAGGGAGACACAGGGCCGTATAAGATAAGATATAATAATAATTTATAAATTATTAAGGTCCACGAAGGAGGGAGGAGAGGAGAGGGAGGGGGAGAGGGAAAAGGAAAATGAGGAGCTAATTCCAGGAACCCAAGCGGAAAGCGAATGATGAGAATGATGAGGGCAACAAATGTATAAGTGTGCTTTACACAATTGATGTATGTATGGATTGTGATGAATTGTATGCGCCCCAATAAAATGATTAATTAAAAAAAAGTTTGAGGACCCCTGCCCCGGGCCTGGTGTCTGAACGCCCGGCTCGAAGGGAGTGCTCTATAGATACTTGTTAAATCCATGAGTCCCTCCTCGCAGGATGACTAAGGGCCCGTATATGGGTGCTCTTGAGATTGCTTAGCGAACACATGGTGAGCTCACCCCCTAGGAGGCACTGGAAACAGAAGCGGACAGTTGGGGAGCCATCTGAAGGGGCCGTCCACAGACTGAGCTGTGCTGGGGGACGAGAAAGAGAAGGACCCTGGTTTTAGTGTTTTCTGCGGAGTCTGTTTCTCCCTCTCTGCTGGGAATCGAGAACTTCAGTGTATCCAGACCCAAACCGACCTGGGTAGCTGCCTCCCTCACACCTGTGTTTTTTCCCTTTCCCTCCCCAGGACTACCCTTCCTACCCCGGCTTCCCGCAGAGCCAGTACCCCCAGTATTACAGTTCATCCTACAGCCCCCCGTACGTCCCGGCCAGCGGCGTCTGCCCCTCCCCGCTCTCCACATCCACCTACGTCCTCCAGGATGCTTCTCACCACGTCCCCAACCAGAGTCCTGAGCCCCTCGCTGGTACGTACCGTCACTGTCGCTCAGCCCCGCAGGGCTGTGGTTCTGAGGACACCCCGGGCCTGGAACCAACTGCAGCAAGGACTGCCAAGGGCTAAGTCCCGCCTTCCGATGGGCGTGTGGTTTTTGTTTTGTTTGTTTGTTTGCTTTTGTTTTTGAAACACATCCGTTCGTATTAATTCCTGGGAGTCTTAATGTGTCATTTTGTAAATTAGCTTGCTTATTTTTCACAATTCCCCAGACATACAGATCACATAGCATACACTTCACGTGCTGTGTCCTATGCATAAGCGTGGTGCAACCACCGCCACAATCAGTTCCAGGACGTTCCTTCTCCGTGTGCTCATAGTCATGAGCACCCTCTTCCTGCCAGCTTCCCCTGCCGGGTCCCTTTGCATCTCCCAATTCAGTGCTGGTCTCCATAGGTTGACCTAACCTGGGTTTCACAGACAGAAAATCCAGACAAGACAAACAAACAGCCCAACAACAGTGCACAATAAAACCAAGACAACGGTCGGTCAAAAACAACACAGAAGGGGTTAAGAACTGAAGCCAGTATCTATTGGGTCAAGAAGGAGATCAATAACAAGGTATCACATGTGGAGCTCACCACAGTTGCAATAACAACAACAACACCCCCAGACCCGCAGCGGCCTCTGTCTGGGGACATGGCCTTCCCTTCTCTGGGTTACTGTCCCAGGAGATTTATCAGAGGCTTAAGCTGAACGGGCCACACCCAGGTAGGTGTGTTGAATTGGACCCAGGTTCAAAGACCATTTACCGAATGAGTCTAATTTTGGGTTTAAGTGCTGGCCTACTAACAGAAAGGTTGGCCATTCAAACCACCCCGGGGCGCCGTGGATACAGTTTGACCCCAAAGGGTGGTAGCCTTGAAAACCCTACGGTTTTCAAGTTCTCTGGGGTCACCCTGCGGCAGAACCACCGAGCCAAGGATTAACACCAGCAAGTCCTCTGGAGAGATCTACCCAAACCTGATCTTCGTCCCCAAGTGACAGTGCTTGGTGGGGCTGGGGAATGTCTGTGTCCTTTCGACAGAAGATAAACAAAGTTTGTGAGCTGCCTGGCCCATGGAGACGAGTCTGAATGGAAGAAGCCTTGGTACGCAGGGGTTGACGGGTTGCTGCTAACCGAAAGATCAGTGGTTCTGAAAACGAAAAGGTTAGTGGTTGCGTCCATCTGCCGCTCTGCAGGGGAAAGAGGCGGCAGTCTGCTGTGGTCAAGATGACCGCCTCGGAGCCGCGTAGGGCCGGTTCTTCTCTGTCCTGTGGAGTCGCTGGGAGTTGAAAACAGTCAGAGGGCAGTGGAGTCGGTTGGCTTCCCAGTTGGTTGTTTGGTGTTTGGAGCCAGGCACAGCCTAGACTGGTCTCTGCAACCGGCGAGCAAGCAGTGTCAGAGGTGCTGAGCCACAGGCTGCCATCCTCCTCAAAGACACAGGGTGCTCACCACTGCCACCGCCTCTAACCCATGAGGACTGGCTGGCCCAAGGGCTGAGTCACTTGCTAGCAATTTGTTGGTGGATCTGGGATACTAATCCCAAGTCTGTCGGCCTCCATGGCCGGTGCACCTGCTACCCACCCACAGAAAGCTGAGAAAACGTCGCTATGACCTTCCAACCTGGGACTGCCTCACACACTTGAGACACCGTGAATGCTAGAGCCCATCCCAAGGCTCCCGTTGGATGGTGTTGGGGGCCTGTACATGGTCACTGTCCATGGCTGCTGAGAGGTTGGTGGTTCGAGCCCAGCCAGAGGCAGGTCAGAAGACACCTGCGGTGGTCTACTCATGTAAACTCAGCTGTTGACCACCCAGTGGGGCCCAGTTCTGCTCTAGCACACAGGGCGAAGGATCAGGCTTGGTAAGTAGAGAGACGGTGTCAGAAAGGAAGACCTTGAGGAGACAGATGGACATGGGGGCTTCGACAATGGGCTTCAAACGCAGAATGATCGTGAGCACGGCTCGAAAGCGAGGCTGTGTCGTTACCACGGCACCGAACAACGACAGTAACTTGTATGGGCTCCCCCTGAGTCAGAACCAATTCGCTGGCAACTGTTCTTGTTGGTATTGGTCTGGACTTCCTGCCTTTAAGAGACAGAAAATCCTTTTCATGTTGGCTTCCGTTTCAAAAACGAAGAAAGCCATTTGGGGTGTAACCCACCAGGGTAGAGGTGGAGGACTAGATCTGGGCCCCATTCCCCTCTTCCACCTGCCTCGTGGGTTCAGTTTTTGGATTCATTCCATCCTCTATCAAGTCTTCCCCTGATGGCGGCTACACCAGGATGCCACATACTGCCTCGCTTCTCCCCAGCAGCACAGCGAGTGTCTCCTTCCCAGCAGTGCCTACTAAAGTCCCAGAAAACGCTCCCATTGGCCCAGCATCGGTCCCATGCCTTCTGCGAACCAATCTCTGTGGTGAGTGGGGTGGACGGCTGTGATAGCACCAATGCCTGTGATTTGGCTCGTGTGCCCAGAGTGGGTGCCGGAGTTGGGTTCATTCTCCTCCAACCCACCTGGTTTCCAAAAGCAACTCGGACCATTATAAACAGAAGATGACAGACGGCACAGGAGGTGAGCGAAAATGACAGGTGGCCACACCTCAGTCACGATGAGGGAAATGCGCTAAGGTCCACACGTGGGCCCCTCTGTGATCACAGAGCTGGATGTGTCCATCCTTCTATAACCAAGCCAGCAGCCGATGGACTCCCTCATCCCACAGACTGCCGTGCACATACATGTCTCCTCTCCCATGAGATCCTTGGGGCTTATCTGCGCCAGATCACATGGCCAAACAGAACCTCAGAAATATCAAGTCGAGATGGCATTCTGTCACTGTGGTTCTTGTTCTGAGAAGCCCTGGTGCCCCGGGGTTTTGCGTAAGGCAAGAAGGCATGGTGGGACCAACTTGTCTTCAGGCGGTCATCCGTGGTGAGCAGGCAGGCGAGCGAGCTAGAAAAGAGCGAGAAAGCTTCATCTCCCCCAACTGCACCCCAGGGAGAGGTCCTCCGTGAGCCCGCGCTGTCGGTTTAAGCTCTTCTCGTGTCTGCCCTTGAGGCCACATTCGCTACCCTTTGTTAGACACGTGGAGATACACAGCCGATCAATTTTACACCCACTTTGGGGGCCGCTGAGTGTTTGAGCGTTGCTTATGCTCATCAGGATCTCATCACAGAGTATTTAACGAAGACGTTTGTACCTACCTAGGAGGCTTGGTGGCGGAGTGGTTACCCATTGGGCTGTGATCCAAGGTCAGCAGTTCTAAACCACCAGCCGCTCCTCAAGAGAAAGACAAGGTTTTCTACTCCCGTAAAGCGTTACAGTCTCAGAAACTCACAGGGGGGTCGTTATGGGTTAGCAACAACTCATTGGCAGTTTGTTTGGGGGGAGGAGTAGGTAACTACCTAACAGCATCCAAATTGTCTCAGGAGGGTAGGAAACTGGACCGGCCTTGAGTTAACTCCGGACATCGTGCTTGCCAAAGCTGGTTTTGGCAAAAGAGAAACACAAAGAAGCGGATGAGTTAAGGCAGAGAGGACATAGAAGCAGGAACCCTTCAAACCGATGCCCCTCCCTACCCGCACGATGAGAATGGAGTGGGGCCCAACGACTGCACTCCTCAAGAATTCAGGGTAGGGGGAAGGTCATCTTGTGCCAATCGGGCACAACCATAAAGGCTCGCTGTGCGTCTTTGAAATGTCTCCTTGATTGCTTCCTCCTGTTCTTCATTTACCCCTTGGTCTAAGGTTCAACAATAAGTGGTTGAGATGGTTTTTACTGTGTGTCTAACAAGTGCTCATAAAACCTAATGGCATAAATAATTGTCAGCTATAACCGAGGTCTCCAGCCTCTTTTCCCTAGTGTCCACTATAAAGGAAGAGCAGAGAAGGAAGCTCTTGCACACACACGTACACACACATGCACTCTCTGGGCCTTTCCCATAAAAGCTCCACTTTTGAAATGATCCAGGATTTCGTTGAGTGCTGGGTTCCAAACTCCAGAGGCCCAGAAAGTGTCTGCGTCCCAGACAGACCGGGCTTGCTCTTCCCTCGTCTTGGGAGACTCTTCCTCCCAGCGCCGCTGCGGGGCCGCGGTGACATGCAGGAACATTGATATCAAGTACCAACAATTTGCAGATGATTTCAGGCAGTTGGCTGCTGCTGAGGGCGCAGTCAGACAACTGATGCTGCTTCAGAGGGAGAAGCAAACCAGGAGTGGTGGCTTGAGGGGGTTGGGGTTTGGCTTTGTTTTCATTGTCAGTGTGGACTCGAGTCATCTGAAAAGAAATTGGAGGAATTTTTAAAAAGAGACAACAAGGAAGCCTTCTTAGCTTTGTAGAGCAGCTCTCTTGCCAATTAGAGGCGACACTGGGGGAGCCGGGAGGGAACGGCTGGAGGAGAGAGAATCGGGTCCTCTATGCAATTTGACAACCTGGGACCCCGAGGGCAGTCCTGCCCTGTCCTGTAGGGTCACTGTGAGTTGGCAGCGACTCGGTCGTGATGGGTTTGGTGTTTTGGAACCAAATTAAAAATGCGCGTCCCCTTTAGTCCAACTCTTCTGCTTCTGGGAATTCATTCAAAAGATAAGCTCACGTGGCTACAAAGACTTGAGTAAAAGAATATCTTTCGCAACCTTGCCGTCGCAAAAGACTGACACAACCTGCACATCTGGAAAGGAGGCACGGAGGGAACATACAGTGCACGGGGACATTGCTAGATTGGGGGTCACCTAATGCAGTGTAACTCATGGTGTGCCCCGTGGCAGGACAAGCTGGCTGAACAACACACCTCTCTTAGCTCCAAGGCTCCTGGCAGCTCCTCCCCCTGCCCTTTGATTCCAGGGAGATCCCTCTTCTCCACCCAGTGGCAAACACACAGCCACCTGCCTGCCCCTTGCTGGTGGAGGTTGAGGAGTGACAAGTTATCACCTTGGGTGATGGGCAACGCCAACCCTAGTGATGCCACTTTGATGGTGTCCGCTCCTTCCTGGTG